TGCAACCCAGTGCAGAAATATGTGCTCAGTGATTTACTTGCAAAACTGTGTGATCAGTGTTAGCTTTTAAAGTAGAATGGTTGCTAACTTCACCTTCAGTCTGGCATGCTTACTTGATTAATTGGTTACTTAAGTCATGCTTAACAACTTTCCTTCTTTTAGAACGACTGTATAATGAAAGCTCTCTTTTCTGTTATTCCTCCTTTATTCTGTTCTCATTCTTCAGTGATTTAAAAAAACTGTTTTGTATTCTGACTTATTTTCTTTAATGCTGTTTTCTAGTATGTTCCATTTTCTCCTTATCTTTTGCAATCATCTGTCCTATTAATTGGAGACACACCGTAAAAAAAAAATGAAACATTACCATTCGTACACAGCAGTAGGTGTGGGTGGCATGTGAGCTGATTTGATATAACAGTCACTATTGCTTGGACGGGATTGTGGTCATTTGAATGGTTTGGATCCAAAGGATGGTAGAGGAAAAGAGTCATCTAAAAATGTTTTCTAACAGCTTGCGCAAATATTAACACAGCTGACTCTTTAGCAGTTCTAATGGTTCTGGTTGAGCAAGAGGAAAGCTGTAGTTGAATTGTATTTGACTGCTGTCATGCATCATTCCAGTATGTAGTATAAAACAATGTAGACAGGTTCAGCATGTGAAGGATCTTGGATCCAACCTACTGCCTCAAAGCAAGTGCACATGGTGGAAGGAACAGCATGATTTCTCAGACAGTTCATTGCATAGTAATAGTCACCATAAGGTACAACTTTCCCAAAGTCTTGAAATCAAAATTGTATAGATAGCTAATATAATCCAACATTTATTTGCACCCTTCACCCCTCTTTTTATGTTTCCCACAATACTTTCCTGCCATCTATCCATCTGTTCCACTAGCAGACATGGTGGCAAAAGAACTGAATATACCTGCAGGCACTGCTGCATAAATCTCATTCTGCTTGAGAGCTGTTTTACACAAGCTACTGGGCTGTTCTGTCTTTAATAGGTGGCAACTGTGGCCACACATTTGCGGTTGACTCCATTTAAATCCATTGCTGCACAACACTCCCACGAGGTTTCCTGCAAAGGAATGGAATGTCTTGTCTTTGCCACCTGACAGAAAGTCTGCCAAAAATACTGTTATGCTTACTTGTAACATCTGTCCCTGCCGTTGTTAATCTCTTCTGCTGTTGCAAGTAGATTTCCACCCCCTCTGTCTTCCATATTAATCATGATAGTATTTCCAGCGTCTGAAATATGCCACATGTCTCAGAACATGTTAGCAATACAACTATCAGCACCTCCTGATTGGATTCAGGTTTGCATTGCTGTGTGTCCCTCTGTATTTCTTTTGAGAACAGCTGTAATACACGCTCACAGGTGGCCATGAAGGTATGTGCTTTAAGACATGTTATAGCTACTGTTTCACATGGTAGATAGCCATTGGTTTTTAAATTGCTTCTTTAAAAGTGCTTGTCTTACATAAATGCTTCCTTTTCTGTGGATATGGATGAGATGTGGCCATTTAAGATAGATTCATTTCAGATCTCACATAGAAGATTTAGCCTGAGTCCTGGCTGCTTCAGAACAAAACTCACGTCATCTCAAGACACCCATAGAATCTCTTTATTGTGATATAATATGACATAGGACCTGGCAAAATCTGTTGAAACTGTCTCTATCACGATGTCACTATATTGCAATATAATCCTCCAGTTACTCCCGGTTCAGCACAGTGAATCAATTCAAAAATGTCCTCACTATATTATGCACAGGGGAAACTCACACTTTTCTCTGAGGAATTGTTTCTTTTTGAACACCTGTCAGGAGGTTGTTTATTTTAAACGACACTACGTTGTGCTAGTTTTCTTTTGTTGTTGCTGCTCTCTGAACAGCCATAGCATTTTATTCTATCATGGGGCATTTCCTGTGCTGAAATCTTGGTGATGTGTTTGAGATGGTCTGGATGATGTTCCATCAGAAAATCAGCAATCATGCCTACTATCCAAACTGTTTCCGGTTTTTATTTTTATTTTTTTAATAAACAGAACTGCGCCACATGCATCACATAGGCATTTTCTGTCTGCAACACCGATACAGTGCTATGCCACTTGGAATAAAAAAAGAGGAAAGAAATTGACTTTGGACAAAATGGTTATGGAAAAGAATGCAGGCAGAATCAGGACAGACTAATGGGCAGATCAAAGTGTCAAGCAGGGGTCTATTTAAGGCCATTTAAAGAGCGTCTTAGTCCCCTGCACTGAATCAACCTGGTTCAAATGAAGCTGCACGTGACAATAGAGACAGTGACACACAGAGAATGTGTCATGGTATACAAGGATACGCTGACACAACTCTCAGAATATTTTGGCATTTTAGTTGCACTCTCAATTATTGCGATGAAAGAGACAAGTGAACATTGTCAACAGAACCTGTGCATTTATAAACATGCTCTTGATTGCACTGGATATGATCATTAAAGCCTAAATATAACATCAGAATATCTGCCTTCTTTGACATGAATCAGTCTGACAGTTCAGGTCTTCAAATGGGGCTCTTCTTTAGTCTTCCCTCTAAACTGAGATGTGGACGGCGATAGTCCATGAAATGGGTTTTTCCATTGCAGAATCCCATCTTTGCAATGCTTTCTTGATACTGTTTCTACTAGTGTTTTCATGCCAGGTGAAGGTCTTTTTAGCATGTTTCTAATCAAGTCCAAATGAGAATTCGCATGATGCGTTTGACAGTAGTTCCCATCACCTCTGTCAGCATTAGCTATGGTGACTGGGGGTAATGGGAGTTGTGGTTGGGAGTATGAAAATCTTGCTGTCTTACTTGTGGTGAATTTCTCAAATTCACCTCTCAGTTTCACACCAGCCTTCTTGTTTCACCTCATTACTTTCCCAAATGTTGAAAAGGGCTATTTAAAACAAAATCCAGATGAATATATATAATTTTATACATTTTAAAACAAACACAGCTTTCTGTGCTTGTTTACCCATCGATTTCTGTGCATTTTATACCCATTTTTATATTGTTCAAAGCAAATGTATGCACGATTTTCCATTGTACACATTTTGACTATGCACGGAATACATTAGAAACCTGAGAAATAAGCAGATTTCACAAGCAAGATTCATTCTGTTCCATTGACAGTCTGGGGAAATATGAAATGACTATGTACATGTAGAAATTCAAATTCAATGAATGTCTTTTTCAACTCTAATGGCAATCCAATACATCTGGAGAGCCTGAAGTTAAGGAAGGTTTAACATTAAAGACTAAACATAGTGCATAAACACTTATAAAATTTATACAACTATAAAACTATTACAGCCACATTATATATAAAAAATCCAACGAGCCTAGTTATTATTAAGTTGAAGAAGCAATTTCTTATGCAGCATCTAAATTCACTGCAGCATGTAGGCATAGTAACATAATTTTAAAATAAAACTCCAAAAATACATTGATTCGGGTGGATTATTCCTATCCGATAAATGAAGACCATACATAATTCAACATTTTACACTGAAAAAAAATTATATATAATTTAGTATGTATGAGGGACGTGGTGGTGCTGTGGGTTAACCCGCAGAAGCCTCTGTGCTGCAAGGTCAGAAGACCAGCAGTCGTGAGATCAAATCCACGCAATGGAGTGAGCTCCCATCCCAGCTCCTGCCAACCTAGTAGTTCAAAAGCATGCAAATGCAAGTAGATAAATAGGTACCACCACGGTGGGAAGGTAACAGCGTTCCGTGTCTAAGTCGCACTGGCCACGTGACCATAGAAACTGTCTACGGACAAACGCTGGCTCTATGGCTTGGAAACAGGGATAAGCACCGCCCCCTAGAGTCTGACACAACTGGGCAATTTGTCAAGGGCAACCTTTACCTTTACCTATGTATATTTTAAAACAGCCATTGTATGTTTGGCATGACTTAACATGAATCTGATGGAGTGGACTGTAGTCCACTAAAGTTTGTGCCCTATGCAACAGTAACATGCATACTCCTCTGGAAATTTCATGTAGACTGAAAGCATGCAGTCTATGCCTGCAGAAGGCTGATGATGTCATCAGCATGGATTGTTTGTTTGTTTGTTTGTTTTGAAAAAAAAAACACTTCTCTCTTGTGGCTCCAATAGCTCATGTGCTCCCTTTCATCATGTAGAAAGCTGAAGGACCTATGGGATGGGAGGAGGAAGTCTTTAATTTTCTAAAATTATTGCTGCTGGGATGATATTACCACTCGTGGCAATTTTCAATAATGAAAGACTTCCTCCTACCATCTTTCAGCTCCCACAGCTTCCACATGATGAAAGAGATTGCACAGAAACTGGAATACAGAAATAGGAATTACTTAAATTCTAAAAATCACTTTGTGATGCTGACTTCATCAGTTTTCCTCATACATTGTTATACCATCGGTATTTCAGCTATATGCCTATAATACATAATTTCATTTACAACATATGAATGAATGCTCCCCACCCCTTTTTACTTGCTTTTCTGCCTGATTACTCTTGCACTGTTTATGTCAGAGAGCTAGTCATATTCTCCTCATGACTATGAAACCACTAACTCATCAGATTTGCTTGTTGGGCTCAGTATGTGGGATAACCAGGTTTCCTTTATATTAGTCATTAATTGGATTCAAAGCAACAGGAAGCTAATATAATTTAGTTAATTCTCTTCAGTTTGTTTTGTTTGTTTTGATGCTTGATTATTCCCTAATTGTGTTCTTCATATAGATACCGGATGGGGTTTTTTTTTGTCCAAATGCTTTCTTTACGTATAGTGTGTTTTAGATTATGTTTATAGCATGATTACACTTATTTGAATCATTTATTATTCTGTTTTACACTTAAATATTTTAATGCAGCCTTTTCAGAGCACAAAGCATGTGAAATTCAAATATTGTTTTCTGTCTCTGCCAGCAGTGATGCATGGAATGTAATCTCTTAAGACTCCATTTATCATTTTTTTTTCTTCTTTTTAAAGGCCCTGTGGAATTCTTCATGTACTGAAGGTTCAGTTTACAAACCAATCAGCATCTCATTGGTATCAACATTATTTAATTAAATAAATAAATATATATTGTCTGGATACACACTACATAGACAATTAGTTTAATTTATCTTTCTTCTATTAAAAAGTATGTACATTTGCCTCAGAAGATTGCCATATTTGAGATTACTTATGCTGCAGTGGGGGGAATGTTTATTCATTATAAAAGCAACCAGAAAAGTATTCTTCACTATTATCAACTGAATTAGCAAACCTTTCATTAAATTATAACTAATAAATTATTGAGGAGTTTGAACAATCAAAATAAAATATACTTACGTATCCATAACTTGTGTATAATTGCTTCATCCTTTGCGGCCTCAGCAGTATGTATTGGTGGCGATCTTTGACAATATTCAGGGCTAATCATGCTATGAAACAGGGTAAGCCAAAAAGTTTCGGAGAGCACCATGAGGGATGGGGTAGATCAGTGGCTTCCAAACACGTTGGCATCATGCCCCCTTTTGGGATTTTTGTTAAGACCTCAAACTTTGATAAAACTCTACAAACTCCTTTTAACGAATAAATGAAATAGTAATTTAAAGTTAAAGCTAAACACATTAATACATTAATGTGTACTAATAAAAATACATTCAATTAATTTCACAGTATAAATGGGAGAATAAAAATGTAGAAGCTAATGAAAAAATGTACATTTTTGATTGTGGAAAGCTCACCATTGCACAGCCTCCTTGGAATGTCTTCATCCATCTATTCTCAAGTCTGGGAAATAATGGGATAGATGAAGGGTGGAAATGGTGTCTAAATGCTGCACCAACATGGTTTTTATGTTGTTGGTCCTAGTAAAGAGGTAACTGTTCAAAATATGTTAGGATGACACTGACGCCTGTCCAAGTTCTGCATTGTGTATGTGTGTTGGGGAGTTGTGCAAGGTCTTTATCTCACATGAATTACCTTTGGTGAGTAAGCAAATGGTCAACTGCACAAAAGAAAAAAACCCACAATGGGGGATAGAGAAGAGAGATAGAAAACTCTCACTACCCAAAGAAAAGCGTATATGGTTCCAGAATATTTTATAGTAAAACAGGACTCTCTTGGAGGACAGTTCTTAACCTGGAATAACAGCCACTGTTCCACTGATCTCACAGGACGCATAGGTCTGAAGAATTGCAAGACATCTTTTTCATACACTCATCAGTGGGTTGTAATTCTTTGGATGACTTCAACATCAAACAGGGCATTTTAAAATTAGTCTGGGAGCCTAACAAATGAAATGGTAATGACAAGTGAACTTACAGGCCTTCTTTTCTAGGCAAATATTTGACTTGTTGGCCATCTTCAGACACAGTGATCAATCAACAGTTTGTTCTGTGCATCAGAGTCCATTAGTTCCTGGTAATGCTACTCTAAGTGTGTGTATGTTTCTCAGGTGCATTTTGTGATCCTGAACAACCAGGGATCCAAGTGCATGCTAATAAGTGAGGAGCAGCCTTCTCAATTTTTGCTGAGATTCGGTAGTTAACAGGTAAGCAGGTAATGTCAAGAACCAACAAATATCTTTCTATTTATAGTATAATACAAGATACATCAACAGGTCTTTTTCTTCTGTCTTCTTATTTCTTTCTCAGGTTCAATTTCTGCTCTTCCAAATAGAGTTTCGATTCTTGATTCCAGAATCTGTTACTTCATAATAGAATTATTTGAATACAGAAATGCAGTCTTGATTCTGCTCATTTTTTGACACATTGAAAAATTATAGGGATTACAGAACTTTCACCTAAACGTTTTCTTTTATACTTTATTAATTTTTTTCTGATCATCAATTTGATGAAAAATAGCCTATTAGCGGAGTTGTGTATGATGGGATATCTCTTTATTTAATTTCTTCTCTTCTTCTTTTCTTGCTTTTCATCATCTTCTCTACTGTTACTTGGTTTAGTTTCCCTAAATGGAGAGAAATAGCTATACCAAGTGAAGTACTAAGTTAACATAGGGTTTGCTATCATTTAAACATTTCCCATACAGTATCTGGCTGGCCACTTCCTTTACATGTTGTGGCGCTGTCCATGGTGCTGCACCTATTTTGAAGAATAGGTTTCATCATTTTTAATTCATTCCTGTAAAGTTCAAAGTGAATTCCATCTGGAATAGATTCACTGTCCCCACTACATCAGAATCACCTTTGCCACTGACTTGAAGCCATTTGCTATCTTAATGAAACTCTATGGACTACTAGAAAAAAGGTCACTCACAGACTGATCCGACACATGTTTACTTCAAGAGAAGCTCTACTATTTTGCACAAGACATATTTTTAGGTATAGGTATATAGGATTTAAGAACTTTCTTGAAAAAAAAAGTAAAATTGGCCCAAACTACAACACTTCATATTGGTAGAGGAGAGAGCTCCCAGCAATCTAAATGCTGAATATTTCCACCATGACCCGGGTTGGGAAAGAAATTATTTGAGTTCACATTGTGAAAAACAATAGTTTTGCACCTCCTGAAAGTTGCAACAGGATGAAGCACATATTCCCTTGGAAAGATATTTATTGCTGAGGCTAGTGATGTGTTTGTGTGTGGGAAAAATGTGCATTATATTTTCTTCATATGCACCAAAAATATGGCTACCAAGATGTGTTCATTTAAGCACATCCTTTTGAGTGCTGAATTGCTCCACTCTGAAAATATTAACATTGTGAATGTCATTACAATATAATATTGCAGCTTTACTGGGATAATGAGCTTAAGTGGCATATCCTGTGTCTTAATGAGAAATCCCCCAACAATTTGGATATCTTTAATTCCATACTTATTTATGTTACATTTTCTTCAGTCTCTCAACAACCTCTTTTGGAAACATGAGCTAGCAAGAAGAAATTCAGATTTTTCTATTTCTTCAAAGAATATGATCCAAACACCTTTACAGGAAAGAAAAACATAGGGTAATATATAATCTCATCATTATTAGCCATTCAGGTTTGAAGGGTGAAAGGCTTGAGAGGAATAAAGCAGACCAAAGTTGTTTATTAAGGAGGAATCTATTTTGGAGAAGAGCAAAAGGTTTAACTCCCCCCCTTTTTTTTAAAGAAAAATTCAACCATAAACTTTTGGCTCAGGCCTGCATTACAAACATTGTGCCAAAAAAAAAGCTTTCTTCCAGCATCCTTCTGTTCTTTAATTGATTCCATTTGATGGAAATCTACAATGGTGTGCATAGTTTTTTCTTTTTAAAATGTGCCGGAATCGAAGGGCAGTCATGAAATCAAACTGATCAAATTAAGCACTGAAAAAGATATGGAAGGTCTGTTTTGAAGTAAAGGGACATTTGTAGAAAACGTTGCAGCATTTCCCTGCATAAATTACCATCTACGTCAGTGTCTTTCCTCATTAAAGTATTGGGTTATTTTTAAAAATGAGGCAATAGAATGTGACAGGGCTAAGATCTGAGTTAAAATCTTTGAACTTACTCAAGTGGCTTGCTCTACAAAGCAAAGGGACAACATTCTTTTTAAAATGTGCCAGAATCGAAGGGCAGTCATGAAATCAAACTGATCAAATTAAGCACTGAAAAAGATATGGAAGGTCTGTTTTGAAGTAAAGGGACATTTGTAGAAAACGTTGCAGCATTTCCCTGCATAAATTACCATCTACGTCAGTGTCTTTCCCTATTAAAGTATTGGGTTATTTTTAAAAATGAGGCAATAGAATGTGACAGGGCTAAGATCTGAGTTAAAATCTTTGAACTTACTCAAGTGGCTTGCTCTACAAAGCAAAGGGACAACATGGAGCAGACAGATTTGAAGCTAAGAGCTATTATTGGCAATTGTTTTTCTTCATAAAAGATGAAGACATATAATGATGCATAGAAGAGTGCCATTTGATGACATCAGCATACATTTCCTTCAGTGGCAGAAGACATAAAAGTGAGCAGCATGGATGAATCACTCAGCTTTGGTTTTCCAACATTCTAGTAAAAATAAATAAATCCCAAGGTTTTTTCTGCCTTGTATGTGAAGAAATATGCAGATTTTCTTAAATTGGTATCATAAATCCAACCAATCAAATATCTCATCCCTTCCTTCTATGGTTCAAAATCACCGTTGTCTGATAGTTTCTTCTCCCTGTCCGTCCTCCCACTACTAGTTTCACCAATTAGCCGCCCCGAGTAGACATGGTCTAGAGGGGTGGGGTAAAAATCAAATAAATAAATGAATAAAATAAATAAATTGTGGCAGAACAGACCTTAACCCTACTGTGCACAGAGAACCCAGATTTCAGTTTCTCCTGTTGTAATACAGTGGGCCCTCGACTTACGAACAGCCCTAGTTGCAAACGTTTCGGGTTATGAACCTGATCTCATAGGGAATCTCATTCCCTACTTGCGAACGCGGAATTGAGTTATGAACTGCGTGGAAGAAGCCGTTTGAGAGCCGTTTGGCTTTTGAGCTTTCAAACGGCTTTCCCCGACATCGGACGAAGCCCTTTGAAAACTCCGAAGCCAAAAAGGCAGGGAGAAAGGGCGGGAAATTCGAATTTCCTCCCTGACTTCCTCCCTGCCTTTGGAGCTTTCAAAGGGCTTCCTCTGACGTTGGGGAAAGCCCTTTGAAAGCTCCAAAGCCACCGATCGCGGCGATGGGGACCCCCAGGGAGGTCTCCCATGATGGCGGGCAAGCCTCCCTGGGGGTCCCTGCCACCGCAATCGCCGGCTTCAGAGCTTTCAAAGGGCTTTCCCTGACATCGGATGAAGCCCTTTGAAAGTTACGAAGCCAAAAAGGCAGGGAGAAAGGGCGGGAAATTCGAATTTCCTGCCCTTCCTCCCTGCCTTTGGAGGTTTCAAAGGACTTTCTCTGATGTTGGGGAAAGCCCTTTGAAAGCTCTGAAGCCACCGATTGCGTGGGACTTGCTGTTTTTATTTTGTTTTTGTTTTTTTAAAATGCCGGAATGGATTAATTCCGTTTCCATACATTTCCATGGGAAATGGTACTTCGACTTACAAACTTTTCGATGTACAAACGTCCTTCCAGAAAGGATTAAGTTCGTAAGTCGAGGGCCCACTGTATTAGTGACACTCTCCCTTGCAGGTGTCATAGCATTATGTGAAGAAACACTAAACAGATTTGTGGCTCCTGAAAGACCAACAATTTTTACTTGACTGAAGCTTTTGGGCACTCTATGCCATGCCTTGTGATTCCATTCATGTCATGAAATGGCCTGAGGTCTATAAACATCTATCCCAGATAAAACTTGCTAGTCTTTAAGGTGTCACCAGACTTTCCTGTTTTCATGGTAGTAGATTACCATTAGTCCCCTCCTGGAG